ACAGAGCTGCCAAAGGCTAATCATTCCCTCTACAATGGTGTAGCTGGGAATACCCAATGTAATACAAGATCAAGATCCCAGGAGAACTGCCAAAAGGTAACCACCCGTCTACATTCACCTGATTGGGAATATAACCCATGATATGAGATCAAGATCCTGTGAGAGCTGCCAAAGAAAAGCTATCTCCTCTACCTGACCAGGAATACCCACCATGATAAAAGATTGAGATCCTGGACAGTTGCCAAAAGTGTAACCATCCCCTCTACTTGACCAGGAATACCCACCATGATAAAAGATCGAGATCCCTGGAGAGCTCCCAAAAGGGTAACCATCCCCTCTACTGACCAGGAATACCCACCATACTAAAAGATCAAGATCCCTGGAGAGCTGCCAAAAAGGTAACCATCCCCTCTACCTGACCAGGAATACCCACCATGATAAAAGATCGAGATCCTTGGAGAGCTGACAAAAGGTAACCATCCCCTCTACCTGACCAGGAATACCCACATGATAAAAGATCGAGATCCCTGGAGACCTGCCAAAAGGGTAACCATCCCCTCTACCTGACCAGGAATACCCACCATACTAAAAGATCGAGATCCCTGGAGACCTGCCAAAAGGGTAACCATCCCCTCTACCTGACCAGGAATACCCACCATACTAAAAGATCGAGATCCCTGGAGACCTGCCAAAAGGGTAACCATCCCCTCTACCTGAATAGACATATCCTCCATGATAGATGATCCAGTTTCCTCTGTTCTAGAACATTTGTTATTCCTGGCTGTGTCTTCGCACTTCCTATCCTACACACTCCCCCACTGATGGGACATTTTTCATCAGTTTACATCCGTTTACATTCATTTTTTACATCCTTTACCAACGCAACAATGGACCGTATGTCCGTTTACATCTGTTTTTCTTCTGTTCCATTTCTATTTTTTTTACAGAAGTAGGGTTTGGCTGATGATGGATGCGGACATTAACGGATGTAAACCGATGATCATCATCCACTTACATCGACTAGTCCACAGAAATACACGGGTGTCCGTTTTTCATCCGTAAACGGATAGCTGAGAACTGTACATACAGAACCCCCGTGTGAGACGGGCCGTCCGTGTGAGAAGGGCCCGCCCGTGTGAGGGGCCCGACATTGTGCCCGCCCGTGTGAGAGGGGCCCGACATTGTGAGAGGGGCCGCCCGTGAGAGGGGCCTGCCCGTGTGAGGGGCCCCGTGTGACATTGTGAGAGGGGCCCCCGTGTGAGAGGGGCCCGACATTGTGAGAGGGGCCCGAGGGGGGGCCACCCGTGTGAGAGGGGCCCGACATTGTGAGAGGGGCCGCCCATGTGTGAGAGAGGGCCCGACATTGTGAGAGGGGCTGCCCATGTGAGAGGGGCCCGACATTGTGAGAGGGGCTGCCCGTGTGAGAGGGGCCGACCTGTGAGAGGGGCCGTGAGAGGGGCCCACCCATGTGAGAGGGGCTGCCTGTGTGAGAGGGGCTGCACCTGTGTGAGAGGGGCCGCCCATGTGAGAGGGGCCCGACATTGTGAGAGGGTCCGCCCGTGTGAGAGGGGCCCGACATTGTGAGAGGGTCCGCCCGTGTGAGAGGGGCTGCCCATTGTGAGAGGGGCCGCCTGTGTGAGAGGGGCCACCCATGTGAGAGGGGCCGCCTGTGTGAGAGGGGGCCTGTGTGAGAGGGGCACCCATGTGAGAGGGGCCCGACATTGTGAGAGGGTCCGCCCATGTGAGAGGGTCCGACATTGTGAGAGGGTCCGCCCATGTGAGAGGGGCCGCCTGTGTGAGAGGGGCCACCCATGTGAGAGGGGCCCGACGAGGGGCCATGTGTGAGAGGGGCCACCCATGTGAGAGGGGCCCGACATTGTGAACAGAAGGGTCAGGAATGGTATTGATCACCTAGGCTCATTCCTTTCCAGGTGTTTCCAGGAATTACACATCGCAAGAAAGTAGAGGAACATTTGTACTGAAACATTCCTTATTCCTGGCTGAGTCCTCTCACTTCCTGTCCATGTGACCCCTCACGGCTCCAGGACCATTCATTACATTTATTTGTTCTTAAATTCAACCCAACCAAATTCAGGAGATCTGTAGGATGACGGAGAGGAGATCTGTGGGATGACGGAGAGATTTGTGGAATATTATAGAGGAGATCTGTGGGATGATATGAAGAGGAGATCTGTGGGATGACGGAGAGGAGATCTGTGGGATGACGGAGAGATCTGTGGAATATTATAGAGGAGATCTGTGGGATGATATGAAGAGGAGATCTGTGGGATGACGGAGAGGAGATCTGTGGAATATTATAGAGAGGAGATCTGTGGGATGACGGAGAGGAGATCTGTGGAATATTATAGAGAGGAGATCTGTGGGATGACGGAGAGATCTGTGGAATATTATAGAGGAGATCTGTGGGATGATATGGAGAGGAGATCTGTGGGATGATATGGAGAGATCTGTGGAATGATATGAAGACGAGATCTGTAGGATGACGGAGACGAGATCTGCGGGATGATATGGAAAGGAGATCTGTAGGATGACGGAGAGGAGATCTGTGGAATGATAAGAGAGGAGATCTGTGGAATGATATGGAGAGGAGATCTGTGGAGTGAAATGGAGAGATCGGTGGGATAATGGAGAAGAGGAGATATGTGGGATGATGGAGGAGAGGAGATCTGTGGAGTGATGTGGAGAGGAGATCTGTGGAGTGATATGGAGAGATCGGTGGGATGATGGAGGAGGAGAGAAGATATGTGGAATATTATAGAGAAAATCTGTGGAATATTATAGAGGAGATCTGTGGGATGATATGAAGAGGAGGTCTGTGGGATGGAGGAGAGGAGATGTGAGATGATGGAGGAGAGGAGATTGGTGAGGTGAGGGAGGAAAGGAGATCTGTGGGATGATGAGAGAGGAGATCTGTGAGATGATGGAGGAGAGGAGATCGGTGAGGTGAGGAGATCTGTGGGATGATATGGAGAGATCAGTGGAGTGATAGAGAGAGATCTGTGGGATGATGGAGGAGAGGAGATCGGTGGGGTGAGGGAGGAGAGGAGATCTGTGGGATGATGGAGGAGAGGAGATCTGTGAGATGATGGAGGAGAGGAGATCTGTGAGATGGAGGAGAGGAGATCAGTGAGGTGAGGGAGGAGAGGAGATCGGTGGGGTGGGGTGAGGGAGGAGAGGAGATCGGTGGGGTGAGGGAGGAGAGGAGATCGGTGGGATGATGGAGGAGAGGAGATCGGTGAGGTGAAGGAAGAGAGAAGATCGGTGGGATGATGGAGGAGGGGAGATCGGTGAGGTGATGTAGGAGAGGAGATCGGTGAGATGATGGAGGGGAGGAGATCGGTGAGATGATGGAGGAGAGGAGATCGGTGAGATGATGGAGGGGAGGAGATCGGTGGGATGATGGAGGGGAGGAGATCGGTGGGATGATGGAGGAGAGATCGGTGGAGTGATGGAGGAGATCAGTGAGGTGATGGAAGAGAGGAGATCGGTGGGATGATGGAGGGAGAGATCGGTGAGGTGATGGAGAAGAGATCGGTGAGGTGATGGAGGGGGAGGAGATCGGTGGGATGATGGAGGGGAGGAGATCGGTGAGGTGATGGAGGAGAGGAGATCGGTGGGATGATGGAGGGGAGGAGATCGGTGGGATGATGGAGGAGAGGAGATCGGTGGGATGATGGAGGAGAGGAGATCGGTGGGATGATGGAGGAGAGGAGATCGATAAGATGATGGAGGGGAGGAGATCGGTGAGGTGAGGTGATGGAGGGGAGGAGATCGGTGGGATGATGGAGGAGAGGAGATCGGTGAGGTGATGGAGGGGAGGAGATCGGTGGGATGATGGAGAAGAGATCAGTGAGGTGATGGAGGGGAGGAGATCGGTGAGATGATGGAGGAGAGAATATCGGTGAGATGATGGAGGGGAGGAGATCGGTGGGATGATGGAGGAGAGGAGATCGGTGGAGTGATGGAGGAGAGGAGATCGGTGAGGTGATGGAAGAGAGGAGATCGGTGGGATGATGGAGGAGAGATCGGTGAGGTGATGGAGAAGAGGAGATCGGTGAGGTGATGGAGGGGAGGAGATCGGTGGGATGATGGAGGGGAGGAGATCGGTGAGGTGATGGAGGAGAGGAGATCGGTGGGATGATGGAGGGGAGGAGATCGGTGGGATGATGGAGGAGAGGAGATCGGTAAGATGATGGAGGGGGGAGATCGGTGGGATGATGGAGGAGAGGAGATCGGTAAGATGATGGAGGGGAGGAGATCGGTGAGGTGATGGAGGAATGGGAGAGAGGAAGATCGGTGAGGTGATGGAGGGGAGGAGATCGGTGGGATGATGGAGGAGAGGAGATCGGTGGGATGATGGAGGAGAGGAGATCGGATGAGGTGATGGAGGGGAGGAGATCGGTGGGATGATGGAGAAGAGATCGGTGAGATGATGGAGGGGAGGAGACCGGGTGGGATGATGGAGAGAAATCGGTGAGGAGATCAGTGGGATGATGGAGAAGAGATTGGTGAGGTGATGGAGGAGAGGAGATCGGTGGATGATGGAGTAGAGGAGATCAGTGGGATGATGGAGAAGAAATCGGTGAGGAGAGGAGATCAGTGGGATGATGGAGAAGAGATTGGTGAGGTGATGGAGGAGAGGAGATCGGTGGGATGATGGAGTAGAGGAGATCAGTGGGATGATGGAGGAGAGGAGATCGGTGAGGTGATGGAGGAGAGGAGATAGGTGGGATGATGGAGGGGAGGAGATCGGTGAGGTGATGGAGGGGAGAAGAGATGTATGGAATCTCTATCAGGCTATGTACAGGATGTGACCTTCCTCCACACCCGCCCTCCCCTGCAGCAGCCCGAGTCCTCCGATATCCCATCATGCAGCGCCTCCTCCTCCCCTCCTCTCTATGGTGCGGGCAGGGTGTAGTGGGCGGTGTCGCGCAGGCGCACTGAGTGCGAGAGAAGTTCAGATACATTGTATCTGCAGGATGAGGGACCGCAGCAAGGAGCTGGGCTGTGTGAGTGACGTCACTGGGGGACTACAGGGCCCAGCATGGACTGCCAGGGACCCATGTATGATTTCTATGGAGAGGGTGAATGGAGGTTCTTCATTGCAGACTTCCCCAATCAGGGACACGGGTGTTGTGTACATACAGAGGGGGGTCTGGGGTCACCATTGCAGATATAAGGCTTACATCTCATAGGGACATCAATGGGGGGACTACAGGGCCCAGCATGGACTGTCAGGGGCCCTCTGTTATCCCTCATTCCAGGGACACATGCATTATTTATTTATGGGGGGTCTGGGGTCACCAATGCAGGCTCAGTTTACAAAGTGACATCACTGGGGGACTGCCGGGCCCAGCATGGCCTGTCAGGGGCCCTACTTCATCCCTATAACCAGGGTTGTGTCATTTTTATATATATGGGTCTGGGGTACTCCAGGGGCCCCACCCCACCCTATGACCAGGGACATGTTTTATATATATATAGGGGTCTGGGAGTCACCATTGCAGGCTCAGTTCACAATGTGACATCAGGGGGACTACAGGGCCCAGCATGGCTTGTCAGGGGCCCCTCGCCATCCATATAACCAGGGACATATCATTTTTATATAAGGGGTCTGTGGTACTCCAGGGGCCCCACCCCATCCCCCCTTCCCAGGGTCATGTATGTGACTTATATTTAGGTGGTGGGGGGGGGAGGGGTGCCGATCCTTCATTGCTGACAGAAGGCTCAGTTCACAGAGTTCATTCTGATTGGACGAAGCCAGAGGCGCAAAGTGATTTCTCAGACAGGGTTCCCTGCCATCCTGGCGATGGTTTCCACGGTGATCTCTGCAATCGGTCACCTCAGACATAAATACGATACCCTCGGTCAGTTGCTGTGGAACTACAAGTCCCAGCATGGGTGAAGCAGCTTGGCACCTATTGGCTGGGACAGATACACCCGGAGGATATTATAGTGCCGGTGTAAACCTCTGTCATTGCATGCCATCCTTAAAGCAGAACTCCGGTCAAAACTTTTCTTTTCCCATGCAGTGGGGTTAAATGCTCTTTGTGTCCAGGGGCTTAGGGAAAAGCTATACTTACCCCATCCTCCGGAACCAAGCATCACCCCCCCTCACATGTCTAGCGGTGGACTGTTCCACCTATGGGCGTGATGACTTCAGGAACAGCCCATTCACAAGACCACTAGCGTGCGGGCGGGGGAAGGAGCAGCGGAGACCGGTCTTGTGATTGGAGGATCGGTAGATAGGTAAGTATATCTTTGCCTTCTGAGCCCCTAGACAAGGACGAGTGCTTAGGCCATGAATTGGGGGCACAGCCCCACTGCACAGGGAAGTAACAATTTTGCCTGCAATTCTCCTTAAAACACTCTGGGAGGTGTGGCTTAAAGGATCAATCCACCTACATAAGTGGAGCCTGGTGGGCGGAGTTTGTGTTCTCCAACAGCGAGATCTCCCAGCTCTGTTCCTGCACATCTGGGGGAAGATTTCACTGCACACTGTAAGTGTCTCACAATGTGCATTAAAAGCTGCAATGTTCATTAGAGGACATCTAACATCATCTAGCACTTTTTTCCCCCCAGCCTGACTGTCCCTGGCCCGCCCTTTTTCACTCATTAGATTCTTTCAGCAATGGAGGCTCAGTATTACTTGTGGGTGTTGTGTCAGATCCAACCGGGACAGGGGCTTTTGGAGGGTACTATGGGCTGTCCTTCTACCCACCGATTATGGCCCATGGAGGAGACCGGGGATTTTGTCTGCTTCTCCTGGTCCACAGCATGGAGGAGAGCCGGGTCCTGAAACCCTTTGACTGGCTGGGAGTATCTCTCGGGATTATGTGGCCAGGAAGTCCCCAGAACAGTGGTGAGTCTGTGGGGACATGGTGTCGGACGGATCGTGCAGACGCACCTTCACCAGCTGGGGATATGGACCTCTTCTTGGGCCTATTCCTTGTCTTGCCCTGGTTGGTCCTCAAGAGCTGCATAATGCAAATGAAACGTAGACTTTGTGGGACTTGGTCTGTTACTCGGCCAGCTTGATATGTCCCCCTTCCCACTTCTCCCTCTCCTGAACAACCCTCTTTTTCGGCACAGGCTGGAGCAACCCCCAAGCTTTTGCCTGGTGGCCTGCCCACAGATACTTGCCACTTTTTGGGGTCCCACTCCTTTTCTTCTTGGGCTTCCATCTCCGAGACCCACAATGCACCTCCAGCGGAGTCGTACCGATGCCTACAGCTCCCACACTGGATTTCCACCCTTCACTGCCATTCTTCTTTCCCGTTTCAGAAAACAACCTTTGAACACATCTGCCTACATTCTCCGGGAGCCCAAGGTACTATCTCCTCTATCTACTCCTCCTCATCTAGCTCCCACCCGTACATCTCCAAATGGGAATGAGACCACACAGCCCCCATAGACATATTGGACTGGAACAGGTCCTGGTCTGCTGTAGCCAAATACTCATTCAACATGGTCACCATGGCATGGAGGTGGCCTACAAGGTCCTCTTCGCTGGTACTGGGTTCCTGCCCATATAGCTCACTCGAACTCGTCATGTAGTGACAGGTGTTCAGGGGCTGTGGCCAACATGGAGATGAGATCCACATATGGTGGTCCTGCCCCTGCCTAGAGGACATCTGGTTGACTTGGTTCATCACTGGGCCCAAGCAATGCTTTTCAATGCCAAGCTGTGTACAGATATGTCATATCAATGCCCATTTATTTTCCTCCCACAGGCTGACAGCGATTCAGAACCGGATGAACACAAGGTGTTAGTGGAACCCTCACAGAACGATGAAGAGCTCGACCGGCATTTCTTTGAAACGGTAACACTAGTGGGCGCTGTGGAGTGCAGAGGGGGGTTCAGGATGCACAGGGTGGCCAGGAAAAATGACAGCACGGTCTGTTAGTGGAGTGACTATTGGCAGCTAAGCAAGAATAAAACCCAAGAACACAAATGTGATATATTGTAGCTTTCCAGTTATTAGATGTGGTGGCTGCATTTTATTTATTTTTTTTCAGGTGAAGAATATTTTCAGCAAGTGCAGAAATACCCGTTGATCCCACCAGAAATGCTGTTTTAACTGAACTGGAAGCAAAAACAATGTTGTCTTTCTTGTGTGACCCACCAATCTTCCCACCCATTATGTCAGAGCTAGACAAAGGTAGACCGTGTCAGTGTGACAACCATGAATCTCTATAGATACAGTGAAGTGAGTGTAGCCACCCAGGAAGGGTGTCACTGGCAGGACCACCTGGTAAAATAAAGGGAAAAAGCCTGAAAAATCAAAAACGCATCTTACCATCACATCTAAGGATTGGGAAGCTGCAGTATATAACATTTTGGGTTTTGGAACATTTTAACGTCAATTTAGTGCTTTCTGGGCTATTATATTTATGTATGTAGTGAAACGTGGGTGGAGCATGTTCATAAGGGGGTGGGGAATATTACCAGTAAATAATGGGTGGAGTATGGTCATAAGGGGCGGGGAATATTATTATTAAATCATGGGTGGAGCATGGTCATAAGGGGCGGGGAATATTATTACTAAATCATGGGTGGAGCATGGTCATAAGGGGCGGGGAATATTATTACTAAATCATGGGTGGAGCATGGTCATAAGGGGCGGGGAATATTGTTAATGAAATATGGGTGGAGCATAGTCATAAGTGGGCGGGGAATATTATTATTTAAATCATAGGTGGAGCTAGTTCATAAGGGGCGGGGAATATTACCAGTAAATCATGGGTGGAGCATGTTCATAAGGGGGGGAATATTACCAGTAAATCATGGGTGGAGCATGGTCATAAGGGGCGCGGGGAATATCAGTAAATCATGGGTGGAGCATGGTCATAAGGGGGCGGGGAATATTATCAGTAAATCATGGGTGGAGCATGGTCATAAGGGGCGGGGAATATTATTATTAAATCATGGGTGGAGCATGGTCATAAGGGGCGGGGAATATTATTACTAAATCATGGGTGGAGCATGGTCATAAGGGGCGGGGAATATTATTACTAAATCATGGGTGGGATGGTCATAAGGGGCGGGGAATATTGTTAATGAAATTATGGGTGGAGCATAGTCATAAGTGGGCGGGGAATATTATTAAATCATAGGTGGAGCTAGTTCATGGGAATATTACCAGTAAATCATGGGTGGAGCATGTTCATAAGGGGCAGGGAATATTACCAGTAAATCATGGGTGGAGCATGGTCATAAGGGGGCGGGGAATATCAGTAAATCATGGGTGGAGCATGGTCATAAGGGGGCGGGGAATATTATCAGTAAATCATGGTGGAGCATGGTCATAAGGGGCGGGGAATATTGTTAATGAAATATGGGTGGAGCATGGTCATAAGTGGGCGGGGTCAGATGTTGGATGGGGATTCACAGAAGTCTGTAGTACAATGTAATCTTGGGGTAGATGATGAATGATTGATGTCAATCCTCAGACGCGGCAGATTCGGGAGTCTCTACAACTTCTTAGGAGTAAAGTGAAAGATCTAGAGGCCAGTCAGACGACAGTCCTCAGCCAGCCGCTTCCAGAGGACAGTAAGTGTCTTCTCAGCCCACCCTCATGATTGTTGCTCATTTTTAGTTACTGCTCTGCTTACCTGTTACCAGCTGATCCTTCAATCCGGTGACTGCTTCACCCATCCATTGTCTGCTTCACCCATCCATTGTCTGCTTCACCCATCCATTGTCTGCTTTCACCCATCCATTGTCTGCTTCACCCATCCATTCCCTGCTTACAGCACCTCCATTGACAGTCCTATCCTCCCTGCAACTACAGTCCTCTCCCTGGTCCTATCCTCCCAGTGACTACAGCACTCCTCCATTGTCGGTCCTATCCTCCCAGCGACTACAGTCCTCTCCCATTGTCGGTCCTATCCTCCCAGCGACTACAGTCCTCTCCCATTGTCGGTCCTATCCTCCCAGCGACTACAGTCCTCTCCCATTGTCGGTCCTATCCTCCCAGCGACTACAGTCCTCTCCCTCCCATTGTCGGTCCTATCCTCCCAGCAACTACAGTCCTCTCCCATTGTCGGTCCTATCCTCCCAGCAACTACAGTCCTCTCCCATTGTCGGTCCTATCCTCCCAGCGACTACAGTCCTCTCCCATTGTCGGTCCTATCCTCCCAGCGACTACAGCCCTCTCCCATTGTCGGTCCTATCCTCCCAGCGACTACAGCCCTCTCCCATTGTCGGTCCTATCCTCCCAGCAACTACAGTCCTCTCCCATTGTCGGTCCTATCCTCCCAGCGACTACAGTCCTCTCCCATTGTCGGTCCCTATCCTCCCAGCGACTACAGTCCTCTCCCATTGTCGGTCCTATCCTCCCAGCGACTACAGCTCTCTTCCATTGACTGTCCTATCCTCCCAGCGACTACAGTCCTCTCCCATTGCACTATCCTCCCAGCGACTACAGTCCTCTCCCATTGTCGGTCCTATCCTCCCAGCGACTACAGTCCTCTCCATTGTCGGTCCTATCCTCCCATTGACTACAGTCCTCTCCCATTGTCGGTCCTATCCTCCCAGCGACTACAGTCCTCTCCATTGTCGGTCCTATCCTCCCAGCGACTACAGCTCTCTTCCATTGACTGTCCTATCCTCCCAGCGACTACAGTCCTCTTCCCATTGTCAGTCCTATCCTCCCAGCGACTACAGTCCTATCCCATTGTCGGTCCAATCCTCCCAGCGACTTTAGCTTTCTTCCATTGACTGTCCTATTTCCCTGGTGTATGCAGCACTCTTCCATTGATTGTCCTGTTCCAGCCCCCCCATTGACTACAACATTTTTCCATTAACTGTCCTGTCCCCCCAGTGTCTGCAGCACTCTTCCATTGACTCTCCTTTCCCCTGGTGAATACAGCACTCTTCCATTGACTCTCCTTTCCCCTGGTGAATACAGCACTCTTCCATTGACTCTCCTTTCCCCTGGTGAATACAGCACTCTTCCATTGACTCTCCTTTCCCCTGGTGAATACAGCACTCTTCCATTGACTCTCCTTTCCCTGGTGAATACAGCACTCTTCCATTGACTCTCCTTTCCCCTGGTGAATACAGCACTCTTCCATTGACTCTCCTTTCCCCTGGTGAATACAGCACTCTTCCATTGACTCTCCTTTCCCCTGGTGAATACAGCACTCTTCCATTGACTCTCCTTTCCCTGGTGAATACAGCACTCTTCCATTGACTCTCCTTTCCCCTGGTGAATACAGCACTCTTCCATTGACTCTCCTTTCCCCTGGTGAATACAGCACTCTTCCATTGACTCTCCTTTCCCCTGGTGAATACAGCACTCTTCCATTGACTCTCCTTTCCCCTGGTGAATACAGCACTCTTCCATTGACTCTCCTTCCCCTGGTGAATACAGCACTCTTCCATTGACTCTCCTTTCCCCTGATGAATACAGCACTCTTCCATTGACTCTCCTTTCCCCTGATGAATACAGCACTCTTCCATTGACTCTCCTTTCCCCTGTGAATACAGCACTCTTCCATTGACTCTCCTTTCCCCTGGTGAATACAGCACTCTTCCATTGACTCTCCTTTCCCCTGGTGAATACAGCACTCTTCCATTGACTCTCCTATCCCCTGGTGAGTACAGCACTCTTCCATTCACTCTCCTATCCCCTGGTGAAGTACAGCATTCTTCCATTCACTCTCCTATCCCCAGGTGAGTACAACACTCTTCCATTGACTATTGTGCCTCTTTCTTGTCCTGACTATTTTGCCCATCAGATGACTAGCAATGTGACCCAAACTGATCCATCCTTTCCAGGGACTAAAGCATTCTTACACCAACTATTCCACCCACCCTGAAAATGGTGTTCTCATGCGGGTTGTCCTGCTCATCTGGTTATCAGAATGTTTTCCTACTGACCAGTTTATTTATTCCTTGTAGCAATACCAGCAGATGTTACAGCTGCCAATACCTGATACATTATACTGATACAGCTGCCGGTAATGTGGTCCCCATAACAGTTCTGTCTGTCTTTCAGGTATGAAAAAAGATTTACAGTCCCTGAGAGAAGAGATCAAAGTATTATCGAAAGACATTCGGGGGAAATTGCAGAGTAAGTGAATGGCCTCTTGAATTCACCATTTACTCGTCTGTGTGTATGTCTGGCTCCTGTTTGTATACTCTGGCATTGCCAACTCAACCCCTATCTGTCCGCTTTGACATGGCCAACATGACTGCTGCCTGTCCGCTTTGGCCCGGCCAGCGCAGCTGCTGCCTGTCCATTTGGCCTGGCCAGCGCAGCTGCTGCCTGTCCGCTTTGGCCTGGCCAGCGCAGCTGCTGCCTGTCCGCTTTGGCCTGGCCAGCGCAGCTGCTGCCTGTCCGCTTTGGCCTGGCCAGCGCAGCTGCTGCCTGTCCGCTTTGGCCTGGGCCCGCTGCAGCCTGGCCAGCGCAGCTGCTGCCTGTCCGCTTTGGCCTGGCCAGCGCAGCCTGCCTGGCCAGCGCAGCTGCTGCCTGTCCGCTTTGGCCGGCCAGCGCAGCTGCTGCCTGCCTGCCTGGCCCGCTGCTGGCCTGGCCAGCGCAGCTGCTGCCTGTCCGCTGTGGCCTGGCCAGCGCAGCTGCTGGCCAGCGCAGCTGCTGCCTGTCCGCTGTGGCCTGGCCAGCGCAGCTGCTGCCTGGCCAGCGCAGCTGCTGCCTGTCCGCTGCCAGCGCAGCTGCCCTGGCCAGCGCAGCTGCTGCCTGTCCGCTGTGGCCCTGGCCAGCGCAGCAGCTGCTGCCTGTCCGCTGTGGCCCTGGCCAGCGCAGCTGCTGCCTGCTGCTGCCTGTCCGCTTTGGCCTGGCCAGCGCAGCTGCTGCTGGCCAGCAGCTGCTCCTGCTGTCCGCTTTGGCAGGCAGCGCAGCTGCTGCGCAGCTGCTGCCTGTCCGCTTTGCCTGGCCAGCGCAGCTGCTGCCTGGCCCAGCTGCTGCCTGGCCAGCTGCTGCCTGGCCAGCGCAGCTGCTGCCTGTCCGCTTTGGCCTGGCCAGCGCAGCTGCTGCCTGTCCGCTTTGCCTGGCCAGCGCAGCTGCTGCCTGTCCGCTGTGGCCTGGCCAGCGCAGCTGCTGCCTGTCCGCTTTGGCCTGGCCAGCGCAGCTGCTGCCTGTCCGCCCTGGCCAGCGCAGCTGCTGCCTGTCCGCTTTGGCCTGGCCAGCTGCTGCCTGTCCGCTGGCCTGGCCAGCGCAGCCTGTCCGCCTTGGCCTGGCCAGCGCAGCCTGTCCGCCTTGGCCTGGCCAGCGCAGCTGCTGCCTGTCCGCCTGCCTGTCCCAGCGCAGCTGCTGCCTGTCCGCTTTGGTCAGCGCAGCCTGTCTGTCCTCATTAGCATGGTCAGTGAGGAGTGTCCTATCTCTATTTTCATCCCTTGTCTTCTTGCTCTTGGTCTGGCAGTCACTTGCTTGCCAATGTTTCCTGGCTGTCTTCTCTTAGGTATGATAGGCAGAAGTTTAGGGTCTTCGAGTTGACCTCTCATTCCTATATACGGTGTAACATATATTTCTCGGTTTTGTGAAGCACCGCCCCCTTTTTGTTGAGCCCCATCTTTTTTATAGAAGCATTATGGCAGGCAAAAACCAGTGGCCACTGCCACATCCGTACAGGGAAGTGTAGGTATGAGCCCACCTACGTCCTCTCGGCAGGATAGTCTTGTTTATACATCTGTGTCCTAGATACTTGGGTAGTTAGTTGGTGTCTGTCTGTCCATCCGCTGGTCTCTGACTGTCTGCCCATTTAAACTGTCTTATCTTGCTTTTTTTTCACTTTTATCTGCTGGCACTCGAGGGTGTAAGATGGCCCAGTGGTAAGTCCCTATCTATAATCCTCTTCTCCCAAGTAGGCTCTTAGTATTCTGGTTTCGTATGTGTCTGTCTCCTGCCTGTCTCTGAATCGGAGGATCTAGTCCTGAGATCACCGTCTGTCCCCCAACCACCCTTTTGCGGTTGTTTTTGTGTCTCAATGAGTTCCTCTTTATTGTAGAAATTGAGGTGAAAGATGACGATGAAGAAGTGAGAGGGTCAGTTCACAAGCGGATGAAGAAGACGCAGGTATTGGCAACATGTAGAGGGATATATGTGTTTGGATGAGTGAGAGGGAGTGGAAGAATGGATGGCGAGAAAGGAAGGAAGGAGGGATGGGGATGAGATAGAGGGAGCGATGATGGCGAGAAAGGAAGGAGGGATGGGGAAGAGATAGAGGGAGGGATGATGGTGAGAAAGGAAGGAGGGATGGGGAAGAGATAGAGGGAGGGATGATGGCGAGAGAAGATGGAGGGATGATGGTAAAGGTGAGGAATGATGGCGAGAGAAGAGGTAGGGATGATGGCGAGAGTGGAGGGAGGGATGATGGCGAGAGTGGAGGGAGGGATGATGGCGAGAGTGGAGGGAGGGATGATGGCGAGAGTGGAGGGAGGGGAGGGATGATGGCGAGAGTGGAGGGAGGGAGGGATGATGGCGAGAGTGGAGGGAGGGAGGGATGATGGCGAGAGTGGAGGGATGGGAGGGATGATGGCGAGAGTGGAGGGAGGGAGGGATGATGGCGAGAGTGGAGGGATGATGGCGAGGGAGTGGATGGGAGAGGGATGATGGCGAGAGAGGGAGGGAGGGATGATGGCGAGATGGAGGAGGGATGATGGCGAGAGTGGAGGGAGGAAGGGATGATGGCGAGAGTGGAGGGAGGGAGGGAATGGGGATGATGGCGAGAGTGGAGGGAGGAAGGGATGATGGCGAGAGTGGAGGGAGGAAGGGATGATGGCGAGAGTGGAGGGAGGAAGGGATGATGGCGAGAGTGGAGGGAGGAGGGATGATGGCGAGAGTGGAGGGAGGAGGGATGATGGGCGAGTGGAGTGGAGGGATGATGGCGAGAGTGGAGGGAGGGAGGGATGATGGCGAGAGTGGAGGGAGGGAGGGATGATGGCGAGAGTGGAGGGAGGGAGGAAGGGATGATGGCGAGAGTGGAGGGAGGGAGGGAGGGATGGATGATGGAGGGAGAGTGGAGGGAGGGATGGATGATGGCGAGAGTGGAGGGAGGGAGGATGGCGAGAGTGGAGGGGGAGGGAGAATGGCGAGGGAGAGTGGAGGGAGGGAGGGATGATGGTGGCGAGAGTGGAGGGAGGGAGGCATGATGGCGAGAGTGGAGGGAGGGACGGATGATGGCGGCGAGAGCGGAGGGAGGGAGGCATGATGGCGAGAGCGGAGGGAGGGAGGGATGATGGCGAGAGCGGAGGGAGGGAGGGATGATGGCGAGAGCGGAGGGAGGGAGGAATGATGGCGAGGTTGGGGGGAGGATGGCGAGAATGGAGGGAGGGAAAGGAGGGAGGGATGATGGCGAGAGTGGAGGGAGGGAGGGATGATGGCGAGAATGTAGGGAGGGATGGAGGGAGAGTGGGATGATGGCGAGAGTGGAGGGAGGGAGCGATGATGATGGGAGGGATAATGGCAAAAGAGAGAGAGCGATGATGGTGCGAGAGGATAGAAGGAGGATAATGGCAAGAGGGGAGGAAGGGAACGGGGATAGAGATATTGGGGGATGAATGGGCGGGAGGGATAGTTAGAAATGAGGAAGGGACGATGGTAAGAACTATGGATGATGTTGAGAGAGGAAGGGAGGGATGATGGCGAGAGAAGAGAGGAGGAGGATAATGGCTAGAGTGGCGGGGGAGAGAGGGATGGTGGGATGGATGGCAGCAAGGAGGAGGATAATGGCAAGAGTGCAGGAAGGGATGATGGTGACAGAGGAGGGAGGAAAGGATGATCGTGAGAGAGGAGGGGTGGGGTTAGAGAGGGAAGAAGATGTTGGGGATGGAGGGGAGGGATGGTGAGAGTCACTGACCTGCACTATGCAATAAAAATGGAGGAGATATCGAAAAAGCTTCTAAATGGAGTGTACATATATGAGTTGCCAAGGGGGTGTGACCATATGATAACAGAGAAAATTGGAAAATGCATGATTAACCCTCTGCACACTACAGTACACCCTTGCATATTTCTGGCAAACTTTTGCATAAAAACAGGGATTCTAGAGTTGATATATTGCAATACATGTTCAAGCTGGCAAACTTCATTAAGGTGATCCCTGTCATTACAGGAATGACTCAGAATGGACTGAAATCACATGACAGGTGCCCTTCAAGGGGAAAAAAATGGACCTGCTGTCCTTGTGAAAAACTCTCTAGAACATGGTGGTGCTGAGGATGACATTTAGAATCTTCTCATTTTATCTTGCAGCATGGTGTCCTCTGCCAGCAGTTCATCGAAGTCATTAATCAGTGCAACGTGATCCAGACGCAGTACAAAGAGAGCAACGTCAAGAGGATCAAAAGGCAGCTGCAGATCAGTAGGTTTTTACAGCTTTTGTCAATTTAACTAAAGATGCCGCCATATGTGATGATCACCTTGTTCCGCATCTGCTGTTCTCTATTGGAAAAATGCTGTGGCATGTATGGGGCTCCAGATACCGAATTGTAAAAGGGTGACCGGGTGCATATGGGGCAACTTATGAGATCATGTCACATGTCGCTGGATTTGGAACCTCCCAACGCTCCTGTTCACTTCTGCTTGGTCAGCCAGTACCAAGGGTAACAATGGAAGTAATAGACCTGAAATGAAGGGAGCCGTACTCGTGGTGAATGGGGAGCCGTACTCGTGGTGAATGGGGAGCCGTACTCGTGGTGAATGGGGAGCCGTACTCGTGGTGAATGGGGAGCCGTACTCGTGGTGAAGGGGGAGCCGTACTCGTGGTGAAGGGGGAGCCGTACTCGTGGTGAAGGGGGAGCCGTACTCGTGGTGAAGGGGGAGCCGTACTCGTGGTGAAGGGGGAGCCGTACTCGTGGTGAAGGGGGAGCCGTACTCGTGGTGAAGGGGGAGCCGTACTCGTGGTGAAGGGGGAGCCGTACTCGTGGTGAAGGGGGAGCCGTACTCGTGGTGAAGGGGGAGCCGTACTCGTGGTGAAGGGGGAGCCGTACTCGTGGTGAAGGGGGAGCCGTACTCGTGGTGAATGGGGAGCCGTACTCGTGGTGAATGGGGAGCCGTACTCGTGGTGAATGGGGAGCCGTACTCGTGGTGGCCTCTAGCAGTCCTGTGAAGTACGTCTCGCCGTATAGGAATGAATAGGGTCTTGGTGAACACGATAAGAACTTGGTATGTATGCTTTCTAAAGAAAGGCTGTGTTGCTGTGAACAGGGCTGCATAGTGAAGATCACTGGAATGGGGGCAGAGGTAAGTACGTACCTAGGTGGGCTGCACTCAATAGGATGGATCCATGCCTTACAGCTAAACTCCAGGATGATAATTCTAAGCATTAGAAGAGATGTCATTTCTTACTCTTAGCAAATGTTCTTCGTTGTGCACCTAAGAGCTCATGTACACAGGCAGCTTGTGGTCCAAATATCCTCTAGTGTGAAAATCCCAGCATTTGTCTGCACACGGCAAGCTGCAGGTGAGGCAAACAGCTGGCTATAGAAGTCAATGGCTGTAATTCGGTAAACACGGGTGGTTTTTTTTTTTTTTTGCATTGGCCCTTACACGGCATGTGATGTGTTCCTTGAACACTGAAGTTCAGCATTCGAGGAATACATTGTATGCACATGGGCTTGTCACCTGAGCTTGGCCACGTGCAGCCATTCACTTCTAGGACTGGCCGCACGGGCCACCTGCGGCTCCCTGGGTGCAGAACAAAAGGCCGGGATTTTAATGCTAGGGAAGATTTGCACAGCAAACCATTCTGTGTGCATGACCCTAATGCTGCTGACACTGCAAAATAGTTCCTGGTATCTTGTCCCAAAAAAAGCGCATTATGTTCCTTATTTCCCATTTGTACAACTGGTGGATGCTGTGCCTACTTCTGCCCCAGCCCACCAGTTAGTCGGCATTCCTGCTTTGCTTGTATTTTTACAGTCAGTGATGTAATTATGAGTGCTGTACGGGCAAAATCAAATTCTAAAGCATATATATAGATGTGTGTGTATGTATGTATGTATGTATGTATGTATGTATATATATATATATATATATATATATAGATAGATAGAGAGAGATATATATATATATATATACACACACACACATCCTTTCCTTCCTCCTCTGTCGCCATCATCCATCCCTCCACTCTTGCCATTTTCCTCCTCCTGAAGGTCTGTCGGGGGGGGGGGATGGTCTATTTAGAAGAGTGTTTGCCCAATTTGTTGATCTTGTTCTTTCACAGCTGGACACAACGTCACAGATGAGCAGTTTGACGAGATGCTGGAAAGTGGACAGAGCGACGTCTTCACATGTAATGTAAGTAATGCTGGTGGTGTCGGAGGTGTTAGTGTTACTAAACCCCGGACCCCGCATTCACTATATCCGCTCTCCCCAGACCCTGCATTCACTATATCCGCTCTCCCCGGACCCCGCATTCACTATATCTGCTCTCCCCGGACCCCGCATTCACTATATCCGGTCTCCCCAGACCCTGCATTCACTATATCCGCTCTCCCCGGACCCTGCATTCACTATATCCGCTCTCCCCGGACCCTGCATTCACTATATCCTGTCTCCCCGGACCCCGCGTTCACTATATCCTGTCTCCCCGGACCCCGCGTTCACTATATCCTGTCTCCCCGGACCCCGCGTTCACTATATCCTGTCTCCCCGGACCCCGCGTTCACTATATCCTGTCTCCCCGGACCCCGCGTTCACTATATCCTGTCTCCCCGGACCCCGCGTTCACTATATCCTGTCTTCCCGGACCCCGCGTTCACTATATCCTGTCTCCCCGGACCCCGCGTTCACTATATCCTGTCTCCCCGGACCCCGCGTTCACTATATCCTGTCTCCCCGGACCCCGCGTTCACTATATCCTGTCTGTCTCCCCGGACCCCGCGTTCACTATATCCTGTCTCCCCGGACCCCGCGTTCACTATATCCTGTCTCCCCGGACCCCACCCCCGCGTTCACTATATCCTGTCTCCCCGGACCCCGCGTTCACTATATCCTGTCTCCCCGGACCCCGCGTTCACTATATCCTGTCTCCCCGGACCCCGCGTTCACTATATCCTGTCTCCCCGGACCCCGCGTTCACACTATATCCTGTCTCCCCGGACCCCGCGTTCACTATATCCTGTCTCCCCGGACCCCGCGTTCACTATATCCTGTCTCCCCGGACCCCGCGTTCACTATATCCTGTCTCCCCGGACCCCGCGTTCACTATATCCTGTCTCCCCGGACCCCGCGTTCACTATGTCCTGTCTCCCCGGACCCCGCGTTCACTATGTCCGCTCTCCCCGGACCCCGCGTTCACTATGTCCGCTCTCCCCGGACCCCGCGTTCACTATGTCCGCTCTCCCCGGACCCCGCGTTCACTATGTCCGCTCTCCCCGGACCCCGCGTTCACTATGTCCGCTCTCCCCGGACCCCGCGTTCACTATGTCCGCTCTCCCCGGACCCCGCGTTCACTATGTCCGCTCTCCCCGGACCCCGCGTTCACTATGTCCGCTCTCCCCGGACCCCGCGTTCACTATGTCCGCTCTCCCCGGACCCCGCGTTCACTATGTCCGCTCTCCCCGGACCCCGCGTTCACTATGTCCGCTCTCCCCGGACCCCGCGTTCACTATGTCCGCTCTCCCCGGACCCCGCGTTCACTATGTCCGCTCTCCCCGGACCCCGCGTTCACTATGTCCGCTCTCCCGGACCCCGCGTTCACTATGTCCGCTCTCCCCTGAGTGCCGTTTTACATCCATCCAGAAGCTCAAATGGTCAGCAAATTGGCTTGTAACCTTCTACACGGGAGCACCTTTAGCAGTGATCCTAGGTGAAGGTCTCTGAGTCTCCATCTCTTTCCTCAGCTTCTGAAGGACACGCAGATCACTAAACAGGCCCTGAATGAGATTGAGTCGAGACACGATGAGATCCTGAAACTGGAGAAAAGCATTGTGGAATTGCACGACATGTTCATGCTGCTTTCCATGGAAGTCGAAGCGCAGGTGAGTTCGATGGATCCAGCGCCATCTATTACCAAAATAAATGATTGCTTCTCTTTGGCTCTTCCATTGCACGGGAGATTTTTTTTTTATAACCCCTTGACGCTGACGTCACACAAATATGTGGCCTCACAGAACTGGGCTTTTTTTTCCGTGGGGCCACATATTTGCGTACCTGTCTTTCTGCTGGGAGCGCACAGCGCGGCGCGCTCCCAGCACAAAGACCGCGGTGTCGCCGAGAGCCCCGAATCCCGTTCTAACGATCAGGACCCGGGACCCGATTCCGGGTCACATGATCACTGTGATAGCCTCTGATTGGCTATCACAGTGATCAGTCACTGTACAGCCCGGCCCCCTTGTGTTTTTTTTTCCTCTCTATGAATGGAGGAGAGAGATACATTGTATCTCTCTAACTCCTGTTATAGAGGGGAAAAAAATTTTGTTTTAAAAAAAAAAATGAAAAAGATATTTAAAAAAAATAAAGAGAGAAAAAAAATACCTAGATCAAGGTTTGATCTAAGTGTTTGGGTCAAAGTTCAGTGCCAGGGTAAGTGTTTGGATTTATATTTATTTATTATATTATTATTATACAGGATTTTATTTATTTATATTTTTATTCAGGATTTTTTTTTTTTTTATTTCATACAGGATTTTATATATTATTATTATTAAGGATTTTATATATTATATTTATTTATATATTATTATCATACAGGATTTATATATTATTATTATACAGGATTTATATATTATTATATACAGGATTTATATATTATTATTATTATACAGGATTTTATATTATTATTATTATACAGGATTTATATATTATTATTATACAGGATTATTATTATATATATTATTATTATATACAGGATTTTTATATATTATTATTATACAGGATTTATATATTATCATACAGGATTTATATATTATTATTATATACAGGATTTATATATTATTATCATACAGGATTTTATATATTATTATCATACAGGATTTATATATTATTATCATACAGGATTTATATATTATTATTATTATACAGGATTTATATATTATCATACAGGATTTATATATTATTATCATACAGGATTTATATATTATTATCATACAGGATTTATATATTATTATTATACAGGATTTATATATTATTATTGTTATACAGGATTTATATATTATCATACAGGATTTATATATTATTATCATACAGGATTTATATATTATTATTATACAGGATTTATATATTATTATTATTATACAGGATTTTTATATATTATTATTATACAGGATTTATATATTATTATTAAACAGGATTTATAGATTATTGTTATACAGGATTTATGGCGCCAACAGTTTGCTCAGCGCTGTACAATATAACGGGAGACAATACAGCAACAATACAGTTCAATACAAGAGGGTTAGGAGGGCCTGATCCTGGGAGCTTACAATCTAAGGGGGAGGGGCTGATCCTGGGAGCTTGGTGTCAGTGTGTTTTTAGGTAAAAAAACAAAAACAAAATGGCGCACTATTGTTTCTGGGCTGTACTCCGGGTACAAACAACAAATATCATACACATATATGGTATCGCTGCGATTGTCCAGAGTTGGAGAATTTATTTTGGGTTGTTTTTTGGTGGTCGGTTATGGTAGTCACAAGAAACACACAGCTAAATTTAAAAAAAAAAATTTTTTTTTTTTTTACTATTCTGGGCTAGTTTTCCTTTCATAAGGAAAACTAAATCAGGAGATATCCATTACCATTTACCACCAAATGAAAGCCCAATTTGTCCTGAAAAAAACGCGGTATAATCCACCTGGATGTACAAAGTAGTTGTGATGATAAGTGCGGTTTTACTAACACCGGTCAAAGTTGCAAAATTGTGCTTAGGCATTTAGATTTGTTTTATGCTTAGGTGTGAAGGGGTTAATGTAGGCTTGTGCTGTCCTTCTGAGCTTTGCGGTCTACTAGCTGTTCTCACATGCTTCTCTCTTTGGGCAATTTTAGTTTGCAAAATGCTTCCTACTTTCAGGCTCCTGTTGTCTATTAACCACTTCCCGTCCGGACATTGTATATAAACGACCGGACGGTGGCAGTGCAGGGTTGGGTGGCTGTTTATAAACGGCCTCCCCGCCCCCTGCTTGTGCGCATTCCCTGGGAGCGCGCAGCACTGCGATCCGGTGCCCGCTGTGTCCTCCGATCGTCGTACGGGACTTCTGTGCGAGGTCCCGATCATGTGATCACTGATTGGCCAATCAGTGATCACATGCAGAGTAGTAAGCAAGATGTCGCTTGTGACATCATTGCTTACTACGTGTGAAATCTGTGAATGATCACAGAGATCGCATGGTACAGGGCTATTCACAACAGCCTTGTACCATGCGACAAGCTGTGACCAATCACAGCTCACACAGTAGTTCTCAATGGCTGCAAGAATGCAGCCAGAGAGAAAGAGAAATGATTGCTTTTACAGCCTTTAATGGGTGTAAAAGCATCAGTGTAAAAGAAAAAAAAAAGAAAAAATTCTTCACCCCCCCCACAAGTAGTACAGTGTCACCATGGTTTATAACCAAAAATTATCATATTTAAAAATTTTTTTTTTATAGCAGTACAGTGTCACCATGGTGACACTGTACTGCTAGGGTGACAGTAATGTAGAAAAAAAAAAAATAATATAAAAAAATTAAAAATGTAAAAAAATTTTTTTTAAAAATAATTATAATTTTTGGTTATAAACTAATTTTTGGGGTTTTTTTTTTTTACTAAAAAGATAACTGAATAAATTTTGGCCAAGATTTATGATGAAATATATTTATTTGCAAAATTTTATAAGAAAAACACTTTTTTTCAAAAATTTTTGGACCTTTTCATTTTTATAGCAAAAAAAAATAAAAATCCCAGCGGTGAATAAATACCACCAAATTAAAGCTTTTAATTGTCTCAAAAAAAAAAAAAAAAGCTAAAAAAATTCATATCCGGGAATGGGTGGTAAGTGTCCGACATCAACTGTGGAGGGGGTGAAAGTGTCCGGACTGAGGGGGTGAAAGTGTCCGGACACATGGACTGGGGTGAAAAGTGTCCGGACCTGGAGGGGTGAAAGTGTCCGGATCACTGAGTAGGGGTGAAAAGTGTCCAGCCGGACTGAAGGGGGTGAAAGTGTCCGTTTTACTGGAAGGGGGTGAAAGTGTCCGGACACTGGAAGGGGGTGTAAAGTGTCCGGACTTGGACAAGGGGGTGGAAAGTGTCCAGGAACTGGAAGGGGGTGAAAGTGTCCTGGACTGGAAGGGGGAAGGGGGTTGAAAGTGTCCCGACTGGAAGGGGGTGAAAGTGTCCGGACTGGAAGGGTGGGTGAAATGTCCGGAACTGGAAGATGGGTGAAAGTGGTCCGGACTGGAAGTGGGGGAAAGTGTCCGGAATGGAAGTGGGGGAAAGTGTCCGACTGGAAAAGTGGGGGAAAGTGTCCGACAGGAAGTGGGGAATTTTTGGTTCCGAAAACCCCCTGGAAGTGGGAGAAAGCGTCCGAACTGGAGGGGGGAAAGCGTCCGGACTGGAAGGGGGGAAAGCGTCCGGACTGGAAGGGGGTGAAAGCGTCCTAATAAAACTGGAAGGGGGAAAGCGTCCGGACTGGAAGGGGGGAAAGCGTCCCGATTTTTACTGGAAGGGGGTGAAAGCGTCCCACACTGGAAGGGGGGGAAAGCGTCCTGGACTGGAAGGGGGGGAAAGCGTCCGGACTGGAAGAGGTGTGAAAAAGCGTCCCTGAAAAAGGGGGTGAAAGCGTCCGGACTGGAAGGGGGGGGTGAAAGCGTCCGGACTGGAAGGGGGTGAAAGCGTCCCGGACTGGAATGGGGGGTGAAAAGCGTCCGTGGACTGGAAGGGGGTGAAAGCGTCCGACTGGAAGGGGGGTTGAAAGCGTCCGGGACTGGAAGGGGGTGAAAGCGTCCGGACTGGAAGGGGGGTGAAAGCGTCCGGACTGGAAGGGGGTGAAAGCGTCCGGACTGGAAGGGGGTGTGAAAGCGTCCGGACTGGAAGGGGGTGAAAGCTGTCCCGACTGGAAGGGGGGAAAGGGGGGTGAACGCGTCCGGACTGGAAGGGGTGAAAGCGTCCGGACTGGAAGGGGGGGTGGAAAGCGTCCGACTGGAAGGGGGGTGAAAGCGTCCGAACTGGAAGGGGGGGAAAATCGTCCGAACTTGGAAGGGGGGGAAAGCGTCCGGGGCATGGAAGGGGGGAGGAAAGCGTCCGGGACTGGAAGGGAGTGAAAGCGACCGGGACTGGAAGGGGGTTGAAAGCGTCCCGTACCTGGCATGGGGGTGAAAGCGTCCCCGCACTGGAGAAAGGGGGGGAAAGCGTTCCGGACCTGGACAGGGGGAATCGCCTGGAATGGAAGGGGTGAAAGCGCCGGAACCTGGAAAAGGGGGGAACGCGTCCCGGACTGGAATGTGGGGGAAAGCGTCCCGGACTGGAATGGGGGTAAAGCGTCCAGGCACTGGAAGCGGAGGGAAAGCGTCCTTACTGAGAGGAGGGGTGAATGCGTCCAGTAACTGGAGAAAAAGGGGGGTGAAAGCCGTCCGGACTGGAAAGCGGTGGGAAAGCGTACCGGAACTGGAAGGGGGGTAAAGCGTCCTGGACCTGGAAAGGGGGGGGAAAGCCGTCCGGACTTGAAAGGGGGTGCAAGCGTCCGGACTGGAAGTGGGGGAAAGCGTCCGGACCCTGGAAGGGGGGGAAAGCGCCCCTGCACTGGAATGGGAGGTGGAAGCGCCGGACTGGTAAGTGGGAGGTGGAAGTGGTCCAGTACTGGAAGTGCTTAAATGCAAGACTGTATTGCATTTTGTTTGCGTTATTCCACGCAGGTTCTCTCTTCAATTTCCAGGGTGAAACAATAGACAACAACATCGAGAAGAAATATTTTACATTCCCACCAAATTATGTAGAAAAAGGGCGAAAGCAGCTGGAAGCAGGCGGTGAGAACAGCACACAAAGCCCCGCAAGGTGAGCCACAGCTTTCATGTCCCGCCAAGTCTCCTCCCTCCGTATCAAAGCGTAATTTCCTCCTCTCTGTTCTACAAAAAGTGACATCAAGATTGTCATTCACCCCGATGTGATCTTTTTCCCCGATCGTCCCTACATTTCCAAGCATTTACAACTGTCACACAAATCATGATTGGAGCAAAGAACGGACCGTAGTTCAATTGTTATAGAAAATAATGCTGCTTTAAACCCCTACGCCCTCCAGAAGATTCTCCCGCCCCCCCCCCCCCCCCCCCATTCCTGGGCCAGGCCATTTTTTTGCGTTACGGCGCTGCATTACTTTAGCTGACAGTTGCGCGATCATGCAACGCTACAGCCCAAATGAAATTTGAGTCGAGTTTTTTTTCCCCATTAAATTGGTGTATTTTTTTTGGTGGTATTTGATCGCCCTGCATGTTTTTTATTTTTGCACTAAAAAAAAGACAATTTTTAAGAAAAAAAAACAAGTATTTTTGGCTTTTTGCTATTAAACCTATCCAGTAAAATAAATAAAAAAATAAAATTTGGTCATAAATTTAGGCCAAAATGTATTCTGCTCCGTGTCTCTTTGCTAAAAAAATATACCAATCCGTGTAAATTAATTGGTTTACGCGAGAAGATTTAGCGTCTACAAATGGCGGTATAGATACTGGGATTTTTTTTGTTTTACTTAGTAATGGCGTCGATCAGCGAATTATAGCGGGACTGCGGCGGGCATTTCCAGACCTCAACTGGATAGGGAATTGACTCCAGTGACACCAATACAGTGATCAATGGCTAATGAAAAGCACAGAGGTCCCGTCCGACGATCGGTTGTTCCACTGTAACCCGGATGACACAGCGGACACCGGATCCCGGTGCTGCGGACGCTCTCCCAGGGGACGCGCACAAAGCAGGGGGTGGGGAGACCGTTTATAAGCGGCCACCTGACCCTGCACTGACCACCGTCCGTGAACCCCCGTTTATATACATGGGCCGGTCGGGAATGGTTAAAAAACTCATATGCATTTTTGCTGCGGATCAGTGTGAAAGTAGCCTTATTTTTGGCAGGCATGAATGACAGGAGCCTGATGGCCCCTCAGCTAACTGCTGTCATTGGGAGACAGAACTGGAAACCCAGGAGTCTGAGCAGCCTAGAACATTCCACTGCACGAGCAGCGACTTAATTAACCTCCCTGGAGGTATTCCCGAGTGTAGCTCGGGGTAAAGTTTTCAGCACCACAAGCGGTAACCCCGAGCTACACTCAGGAATACCCTGCAGCGTTGCTCCGGGATCTCTCTCTTCACTTACCTTGTCCTGCGCTCCTGCGATGTCCCCCCTGCAGTGTCCCCCCGGCAATGTCCTCCGCCGATGCCGAGCATCTGTTCATCTGGGTTCCGTCCCCTGTGAGCGTCGGGACGTACGGGGGACGGAACTGGCGGGAAATTTAAAAATGACAAAAAGTGACATTCACTAAATTCACTAAAATCACATAGTATAACATTCCTGTATCAAACCATTTCACATACATTTTGTTTTTTTTTTGTCCCGAGTGCTTTGTCGTCCGGCGCCCTGCCTGCATTTTTACTGGTCTTTTCTGCCTGGAAACTGAGAAACGTCCATGGCGACCAAAAGCATCCCTTTAGGTCAGACGCGGTTTTTAGACCGGCTAGAGAACAGCGATAGTAAATCAGAGCCACTTGCAAATTGAGTGATAATGATTGGTGGGGGAAATTCCTCATCAGACACTGAAAACGATTCTGCGACTGAGCTCAGTGATGTGCGAACTTGGCGCTATATATCACATTTCAGTGTTTTTGGTTTGATTATATTATTGAATTTACATTATTTATATATTATAATACTTATTATTTTTTATGATTTTTTTATTAAATTATAATTTATGATTTTGTGTGTTTCAAGTTTTTATCCTCCCCGGGATGTTTACTAGACTCTTGTTCGGAACAGATTTCAGTGAGTTATTCCTAAGAATTACAGGCCTACAATAAATAAATACATATTTCCATGCAAAAAAAATGTACCGCATTGAGCACAGAAATATGGGCATAATCAGACCGCTGGGGAGGTTACAGCAGAACTTCACTCTCTAAATCAACATGAACTGATTGTAATCTTTTATATTGAGTGATAGCATTAGTAATAGATGGGAAGGTTACTTCCTGGTTTCTGGCCTAGGCAAAATGATGTCCACACATCCCAGGAGTTCTTCAGGAGAAGAGGAGGGGCTCTCCAGCAGCTAAGCGCACCCTCCTGCCTCCATGCCTGAGCTAAGGACAGATGGATTCTAGGAAGTAAATGCCACCATCAAACCCGCCCGCAGGCCAGAGTACTTGGTGTCATTCTGGACTCCAACCTATCCTTCCAGCCCCAAGTCCAATCTTTAAACAAACTCGTGCAGACTCCACCTCCCGCAACATCGCCAAAATCTGCACGTTCCTAACCCCAGAAACCACTAAACAGCTCATTCCACTCCCTCCATCGTATCACGACTCGACTACTGCAACTCCCTCCTCACTGGCCTGCCTCGCCGCAGGCTATCCCCCGCTTCAGTCCATCCTGAATACGGCTGCCAGACTCATTCACCTTTCCAACCGCTCCATCTCCGCCACCCCCCTCTGCCAATCCCTACCTCACTGGCCTCCACTCAGTGTCCGCCACCACCCCTCTGCCAATCCCTCCACTGGCCTCCATTCAGTGTCCTCAACAACCCCTCCACCAATCCCTCCACTGGCCTCCATTCAGTGTCCTCAACCCCCCTCTGCCAATCCCCTCCACTGGCTTCCGATTGCGCAACGGATCAAATTCAAAATCCTAACACTGACGTACAAAGCCGTCCACCATACTGCCCCGAACTACATAACTGACCTAATATCCAAGTATCCCGCCCAACACGCACACGTCCGCTCCTCACAAGACCATCCTTCTCTCTAGTTCCCTGTCTCCTCCTCCCATGTGGCCCGCCTCCAGACTTCTCCAGGGTGTCACCCATCCTTCTGGAAACTCCCTGCCCCAACCCATCAGAATTATCACCTACACTCCTCTCCTTTAGGCGCACCCTGAAAATATAATAATAATAATACATGAATCATCTGCCCTTACTCAAGATGGTCGCAGCCACACATGCTAGGGGAATGTTTTTCAAAGTGTTTTCTCAGAAACATAGCATGAAGACGTGGATGGATGGGGGAGTTTGCTCTGAATATGAAAAATGATTTAGTGCATACTATGGCATTATGACGTAAACCCTCCTGGGGGGGGAGTTTGCCGAGTTAATCCAGCTTGTAATACGGAGAATAAATAATTAGAAAATAATAAGTTTTGTGAGTGAAGTGGAGGAATGTTTTGTGGTTCTCCATTCATCTGTACCGCAGGTAGAGTACCGATCTATCCAAATCCCAGGGCAGCCGGTCCTACATGAAGACACTACACAGATTACATCACGAGAACAAAAATGTCTTCATATGTTTTTACTGCTAGAAAACAGGAAATGTCACCAGAGAGGCCCCGACGGAAGAGGGAACTGTGATCTGTACACAAATGTCAGCTGTTACCGGAACTTTTACATGAAAGGAATTGTTGGTGTCGGAATTTTACATTCTTCTCACTGCGTTCATAATTCTGATTTCTACACACATCCGAAAGACTTGAGGTGTTCCCGGAATAGTCTGTGTGCAGCTCTAGATCTGGTATATCGAAAAACTAAACGTGATCGAGTTTTGGAGTGCATATGAACGGCTTAAAGGATAAGTTCACCTTTGGGAACATGTCACATGTTCCACCCGTTTTTAGGATGGAACATGTAACGTTGCCATGGCTGCAACTCCATTTCTAACATTTGTATCGTGTGGGTTTTCTGGATTTTGGCTGATATTCTGTCTCAATCATTTTAAAAACACAGATGATAAAAATGATAGACCCTTCTTTTCTTTATAAGTGGGATAACTCACAATCTACAGGGGAGCAAATCAGTAATTTTTCCCCACTGTGTGGAGAGAGAGAGATGGAGGGAGAGAGAGATGGAGGGAGAGAGAGATGGAGGGAGAGAGAGATGGAGGGAGAGAGAGATGGGGAGAGATGATGGGGAGGGAGAGAGATGGAGGGGGAGAGAGAGATGGAGGGAGGGAGAGAGATGGAGGGAGGGAGAGAGATGGAGGGAGGGAGGGGAGATGGAGGGAGGGAGGGAGAGAGAGATGGAGGGAGGGAGGGAGAGATGGAGGGAGAGAGAGAGAGATGGAGGGAGAGAGAGAGGGAGGGAGGGAGGGAGGGAGAGAGTGAGAGAGGGAGGGAGGGAGAGAGAGAGAGAAGGAAAGAGATGGAGGGAGAGAGAGAGAAAGAGATGGAGGGAGAGAGAGAGAGATGGAGGGAGAGAGAGAGAGATGGAGGGAGAGAGAGAGAGAGAGAGGTGGAGGGAGAGAGAGAGAGAGAGAGAGGGAGAGGGAGATAGAGAGAGAGAGAGGTGGAGGGAGAGAGAGAGATGGAGGGAGAGAGAGAGATGGAGGGAGAGAGAGAGGTGGAGGGAGGGAGGGAGAGGTGAGAGGGAGGGAGGGAGAGGTGGAGGGAGGGGGGAGAGAGAGGAGGGAGGGAGGGGGAGAGAGGTGGAGGGAGGGGGAGATGGAGGTGGAGGGAGAGAGAGATGGAGAGGGAGGGGGGGAGAGAGGTGGAGGGAGGGGGAGATGGAGGTGGAGGGAGAGAGAGATGGAGAGGGAGGGAGAGAGAGAGAGATGGAGAGGGAGAGAGAGAGGGGTGGAGGGAGAGAGAGGGAGATGGGGGGGGATGGAGGGAGAGAGAGAGAGATGGAGGGAGGGAGAGAGAGATGGAGGGAGGGAGAGGGGGAGAGAGAGAGATGGAGGGAGGGGAGAGAGAGAGATGGAGGGAGAGAGAGAGATGGAGGGGGGGAGAGAGAGAGATGGAGGGAGAGAGATGGAGGGAGATGGATAGATACTGTGTATTCAGGGGCATAGTTACCACAAGGCAAACAAGGCATTTGCCTAGGGCGGCATTTTTCAGGGGTGCAGCACCCCCCCCCCAGGAAAAAGGGTCAAATGCAGCATGGGGACCAGGTGGGATCCCAAAGAGGCAGCGTGCTGCTTGATGGTGTAAGCAGAGTCCGACTCTTGTTCCCGGGGATATCCAGAGCTGTGAAGGTGAGTGTCTTTCTCTCTGTTGCGGTGGGTGGTGTTGTTAGTGGAAGGATCTCCCGGGTTGGGGGGGGGGGGCAGGGGTGTTTGGTCACTATCAAGCTCTCTTGGGGGGGGGGGTGTTGGGGCTTGGTGTTGGTTGGTGTCAGGCTGGGAAGGGGGCATCTGATTTTTGTGTTGCCAGGGCAGCAAAAAACGTAAGTACACCTCTGTCTGTATAGGTAGGTAGATATTTGTATTTAACATATTTTTGATATTTATTTTCTTTAACCCCTCGCCTACCGGACACTTTCCCCCCCTTCCTGTCCAGGCCAATTTTCAGCTTTCAGCGCTGTCACACTTTGAATGACAATTGCGCGGTCATGCAACACTGTACCCATATGAAATTTTTTATCATTTTTTTGAGACAGATAAAACTTTATTTTGGTGGTTTTTAATCACCTCTGAGTTTTTTTTTATTTTTTGCTAAACAAACCAAAAACCACTGAATGTTGTAAAAAAAAGGTTTTTTCTTAGTTTTTGTTATAAAATGTAAATAAGTGATTTTTTTTTCCTTCACTTATGTGCGCTAATGAGGCTGCACTGATGGGAACTGATAGGTGGCACTGAAAGGCAGCACTCATGTATGGCACTGATAGGCGGCACTGATGGACACTGACAGGTGGCACTGCTGGGGCTACACAGATCATCAGTGTCCTGATGATCAGTGTAGATGTCCCCTCCGCGGAATGCCGATTACCGGCTCTCCTCTGTCAGCGTGACCTCTCGGGAGGAGAGAAATGCCGATAACCGGCATTTACATGTGATCAGCTGTGATTGGACACAGCTGATCACATGACCGACATCTTCGGCTCTTTCCGTTGATCGGTGATCTGCTGTGTCCAAGGGACATGGCGCACCGCCGATTTGCCACGCTCCCCGTAGCCACGCATGCGTGGTTAGAATGGGAGGATGTCATATGACGTCCTTCCAGAACGAGAAAACCGCCCTTCCCCCATCATTGCCTTATATGGTGGGCGGGAGGCAGTTAATATATACTTTTCTTTCTTTTGTTTTTTTCATGGGGGCTTCTGGATGTAGTCAGTGAGAACCAGATCCATACTTTGTGTAGCAGCAGGTGACTTCTATAGTGATCTATTGCTGGCTGCCATCTGCCTGTAGTAGATCCCTATAGAAGTGATCTATTGCTGCCCGGAGATGTTAGACAGACTTTCAGCAGCTCTCTCATCCCCCGCCTCCTGTATTCAGACGAAGTTCCCTGACCCCCACGACAACTCCCTATCGCAGCACAATGTGGTAGCGCTGCATTTGCATGTTTGCGTCACATCATTGCGCCCCTATAGTTGAGAGATCTGTAGACCCATTGGAAGCCCGCGAGCTGATTGTTTGAGCTCCTGGCCTTAGCACTGGTTGTCCGCTCTCCAAGAGGATGAATAGATGCCATCCTGCGCCATTTTAACCACTTCCAGTCCAGACACTTCCACCCCCTTCCCCCCCTTTCCCCCCCGGTCCAGTATCACGGGACAACTTCCCCCCCCTTCCAGTCCGGACACCTTCCCCCCCCTTCCGGTCCGGACATCCTTCCCCCCCTTTCCGGTCCGACACTTTTTCCGGACACTTCCCCCCCCCCCCTTCCGGTCCGGACACTTTCCCCCCCCCCCCCCCTTTTTTGCGGACACTTTCCCCCCCCCCCTTCCTTCCGGTCCGGACACTTTCCCCCCCCCCCCCCCGGACACTTTCCCCCCCCCCCCCCCTTCCCGGTCCGGACACTTTCCCCCCCCCCCCCCCTTCCGGTCCGGACACTTATCCGCCCCCCCCCCCCCCCCTCCGGTCCGGAACACATTCCCCCCCCCCGTTCCGGTCCGTCCTGCTTCAACACCCTCGTCCCCCCCCCCCCCCCCCCCCCTTCCGGTCCGGCAAGCACACACACCGCACCCAATTCCGAAGTCCAGGACACTTCCCCCCCCCCCCCCTTTCCGTTACGTCCGGACACTTCCCCCCCCCCCCTTCCGGTCCGGACACATTTCCCCCCCCCCCCCCCCATAGTCCGCAACCCCCCCCGACACCCATGTGGACCCCCCCCCCCCCCCCCCCTTCCGTCCGGACACTTTCCCCCCTTCCTTCTTGTCCAGCCAATTTTCAGCTTTCAGCACTGTCACACTTTGAATGACAATTGCGCGCGGTCACTCGCCCGCAACAACTGTACGCATACCCCGTGAATTTTTTTTGCATTTTTTGAGACAAATAAAGCTTTTATTTTGGTGGGTATTTATTCACCACTGCGAATGTTATCTTTTTTTTTTTTTGCTATGTAAATGAAAAAGTCCAAACATTTTTGAAAAAAAAAGTGTTTTTCTTTATAAAATTTTGCAAATAAATAGTTTTTTTCATCATAAATCTTGGCCAAAATGTATTCCGTTATCTTTTTAGTAAAAAAAAATACCCCAAATTAGTTTATAACCAAAAATGATAATTTTTAAACATTTGTTTTTTTATATTTATTATTTGATTTTTTTTTTTACATACTGTCACCCTAGCAGTACAGTGTCACCATGGTGACACTGTACTACTTCTGGGGGGGTGATGAAGTTTTTTTTTTTTTTTTTTTTTTACACCGATTGCTTTTACACCCATAAAGGCTGTAAAAAGCAATCATTTCTCCTCCTCTCTGGCTGCATTCTTGCAGCCATTGAGAAAATACTGTGAGAGCTGTGATTGGTCACAGCTTGTCACATGGTACCAGGCAGTTGTGAATAGCCCTGTACCATGTGACCTCTGTGATCATTCACAGATTTCACACGTAGTAAGCAATGATGTCAGAAGTGATATCTTGCTTACTACTCTGTATGTGATCAGTGATTGACCAATCAGTGATCACATGATCGGGACCTCGCAGAGAGGTCCCGTACAGCGATCTGTGTTCCACTGTGTCCGGAGGATACAGTGGGCACCAGGTCACGGTGCTGCGCACTCCCAGGAAGCGCGCACAAGCAGGGTGCGGGGAGGCCATTTATAAACAGCCACCCGACCCTGCACTGCCACCGTCTGGCCGTTTATATACAATGTCCAGACGGGAAGGGGTTAATGTGCAATCTGTGCTTCACACGTAGTAAGCAATGATGTCAGAAGTAACATCTTGCTTACTACTCTGCATGTGATCACGATTGGCCAATCATTGATCACATGATCAGGACCTCGCACAGAGGTCCCATACAACGATCGGTGTTCCACTGTGTCTGGAGGACACAGCGGTCACCTGATTGCGGTGCTGCGTGCTCCCAGGGGGAGCGCGCACAAGCAGGGTGCGTGGAGGCCATTTATAAACGGCCACCCGCCCCTGCACTGCCACCGTCCGGCCGTTTATATACAACGTCCGGACGGGAAGTGGTTATCCAAATGGTTACAGATGTAAATCAATATTGGAAATACTAATCTGTTGAAGATTCTATGAGACTTTGGTGATTGAGTTTCCTTCTTTATCTTCCTATTTCCTCCTTGCAGAAAAAGGTTTACATAGCGATCTGTGTGGCCGTCCTGGTCCTCATCCTCATCATTATTTTGGCCACGACGTTGAGTTGAGCAGTCCTCGTTGAGGATCCAGCCTCCCCTCCTCCTTTTCTGGACCGGAAGCTCCTCCACCCACTGCCGTCCTGAGCCTGGCACTCAAAACGGTTTCACCTGGAAGCCGGACACTAGATCGGGGTTTTGGCCGGCGGGGTGGCCAGGCTACCATGGTGCCTTTTATTCTCACTGTATTATTGTGTGTATTATATTCCCCCAGCGTGCCTTACTTCTGCTGCTAACAGACGGCCTTGTGACCGAAGGCGCCCGCCACTCCCATCATAATCTCATGCTGTATTGACTGGAAGGGGACGTTTTCGGTCTCAAGGCCCAGCGTGCTTTATGAATATATGAACCTTTTTGTATCGTTTTAGCTGTTCCTCCCCTGTACTGCTTTTTTATGTAGTGGTCTATGGGGGTGGGGGGGTAATTACATTATGGTATATCCTTGTGGTTTAATGACACACAAAAAAAAATTATTATTCAGGTATTAGCTGTTAATCTGGGCCTCCAAAAAAGTTTTTTTGTTTATAGTGTGGCCCTCAATGTCCTGTGTCACTGGTGCCAGAAATTGGGGGAAATCTCTCTAAAGGGGGTCACAGACAAAAAAGAAAAGCAAGAATGAGTTTAAACCTCAAGTTATATAGCTAACTGTGCTTGCATTATTCCCAGTCGCAACGTGTGTTGTCACAAGGACAGGAAGTGAGGGAAAATCTCCCTTAAGGGGGACACATACAGCGGTAGTGCCTGAAAGAGGTCCTAATCCTTCTGCACTTTATACTTCCCTCCTGCTCACCACCAATCCAGTCTGCCCTCTGTTGCAGAGACACAACTGTAGAATATTAAGAATCTGACACTTCCGGGAGTGTCAGATTCTGCACCCACCCTGCTGTGGTCTCTCCCACAGGCCCCTAAAGGAAACAGTGATGACCTAGGGACTGGCGGATCACACCAATGAATACAAGGGGGTAGGGGACACCAGGAATCTGACACTCTCTGAAGATTCTCCAAGCAGCTGTATCTCCACAACACAGCAGAGGTCGTTGATGCGAGGGAGTAAAGTATGAACTCTTGTCAGGGGGCCCCTTGTAGTACATATTTATTCTAGGGACAGGGTCACTTCAACAGATTAGTATTTTATTTTTCTAGGGTCCCCAATTGAGAGATTTTTACCTTTTTATTTTGTCAGCCATGGTGACACGGCAGGAAATGAAAGGTCTTCCACCACTGGGAACACAGCCATTGAAATAGGACAGAGATTTGAATCCCTTAACCTGTCTAAAAATTAAAAACAAAAATAAAAAGAGGGGGGAGGTTGTTTACTTGGAGTTCCCCCTTTTAAACTGAACCATAAGCACTAGGAATTTGTTTTTTTTTTTTTATTTTGTTATTAAAAAAAATTAACATTTGAAATGCTTTGCAAAATGGATTTTTTTAAAAAAATAAAAATATAATATACAATAGTTTTTTGTTTTGTGTTTTTTTTCTTTATAAGCCTCGAGACACTTTTTTTGGATGAAAGAAGAGGGAATGTGTGTGAAGAAGGGTGGAGAAAAACCAAAGTGTATGTATATGTGTGTGTATATATAATGTGTGTGGTGTTGTGTATATATATGTGTGTGTGTGTGTATGTATGTGTGTGTGTATGTATGTGTATATATATGTGTATATATATGTATGTGTATATATATGTATATATATGTGTGTGTGTGTGTATATATATATATATATATAATATTTTTTTTTTTTTAATAGTGTGTGTATGTATATACAGTTGTGTTCAAAATAATAGCAGTGTGTTGAAAAAAGTGAATAAAGCTGAAAATCCTTCTAATCGCTTTTATTTCCATCCACACAAATGCATTGGGAACACGACACATTCTATTCCAAATCACAACATGAAGAAAAATACATCAAATTTGTGTTGTTCCTCTAAAAATATGGAAGAAAAGTGAATATTAGATGGTTCAAAAAAATGGCCGTGTTTGTATTCTTCTTTACAAACTCAAACATTCACTATATAAACTGAGAAATGTTTGAAGATTTTGCTTTCCTTTGAATGACTTCATGAATATTTGGTTGTAGTCGCACCGTTTCTGAGAACTGCTGTACATCTGTGTTGCATGGAGTCACCCAACTTCTGGCCCCTGTGATCAGGTATTCCAGCCCAGGATGATTGGACCACATTCCACAGTTCTTCTCTATTTCTTGGTTTTGCCTCAGAAACTGCATTTTTGATGTCACCCCACAAGTTTTCTATTGGATGAAGATCCAGGGATTGGGCTGGCCACTCCATAACGTCCATCTTGTTGGTCTGGAACCAAGATGTTGTACGTTTACTGGTGTGTTTGGGGTCGTTGTCTTGTTGGAACACCCATTTCAAGGGCAATTCCTCTTCAGCATAAGGCAGCATGACCTCTTCAAGTATTCTGATGGATTCAAACTGATCCATGATCCCTGGTATGCGATAAATAGGCCCAACACCGTAGTATGAGAAACATCCCCATATCATGATGCTTGCACCGCCATGCTTCACAGTCTTCACAGTGTACTGTGGCTTGAATTCAGTGTTTGGGGGGCGTCTGACAAACTGTCTCCGCCCACTAGACCCAAAAAGAACAATCTTACTTTCATCAGTCCACAAAATGTTGCCCCATTTCTCTTTAGGCCGGTCAATGTGCTCTTTGGCAGATTGTAACCTCTTCAGCACATGTCTTTTTTCCAACAGTGGGACTTTGCGGGGACTTCTTGCAGATAGCTTGGCTTCACATAGGCGTCTTCTAATTGTAACAGTCCTCACAGGGAACGTCACACCTTCTTTCATCTTCCTGGAGCTGATTGTTGGCTGAGTCCGCCCCATTTTGGCTATTCTTCTATCCATTCCAATGGTAGTTTTTCACTTTCTTCCACGTCTTTCAGGTTTTGGTTGCCATTTTAAAGCATTTGCCATCATTTTAGCTGAGCAGCCGATCATTTTCTGCACTTCTTTATATGTTTTCCCCTCTCCAATCAACTTTTTAATCAAGGTACGCTGTTCTTCTGAACAATGTCTGGAACGACCCATTTTCCTCAGAATTTCAGAGAGAAATGCACTGTAACCAGCATGTCCAACATTTGCTGCCTTCCTTCCTTAAATAAGGGCAATAATTGCCACCTGTTTTTCAAAGAATGAATGACCTCACTAATAGAACTCCACACTGCTATTATTGTGAACACGCCCCTTTCAATGAGTGATTCAATGACACAGAATCAGCAGCATGCATGTCATGACTGTTGGGTCTGTTGGATTTCTATTACTCTACTACACCTGCTAGGAAATTATTTGCCATGTAGAAATATCATTTCTACCAAAAACAGAGATTGATCCGGTTAGTGATGTCTGACTGCTAGTATTTTGAACACAACTGTATGTATGTGTTTATATACACACACATATATATATATATATATATATATATATATATACACACTATAAAAAAATATAAAAAATATATATATATATATATATATATATATATATATATATTTTTTTTTTATAGTGTGTGTGTATATAATGTGACACATTCATGAGAGTTGCATCATCCCTGGCTCTCACAGATGGTGGTGATGAGCTCTGAGTGTACAGCGCACAGAAAAAAAAAAAATCCTAGGGCAAAGAGGAAGTTTTTTGGCACGAGACATTGCATGTCTCTTCGGCCAAATATCTTTACTAGGGATGCACCAAAATGTCGGTGGCTGAAATATATCAGCTGAAAATAGCCCAATTGACATTTTGAGACTTTTAGCCGATACGGGGGCCATGTGTACTGCAGCGACGGTGGAGAAAGGCAAAAGAGGAGCAATGTATACAGTGAGCTACCGCTAAATGTCACTGCCGGTTTTTAAATGTAATTACTGGCTTTTTTTTTTTCCCCTTCACTATAGATCCAAGAAGGAGCTGTCCTCCCCCGCTGCTAAAGGAAACAAAGGGGCGGGGTCAACCAGTGACATTACCCAGTGACCCCACCCCTTTGTTTCCTTTAGTGGCGGGGAGAAGGACAGCTCCTTCTTGGATCTAAAGTGAAGGGAAAAAGTTGCTAATTACATTTAAAAACCGTGAGTGACCTATAGGGGGAGCCTGAGTGTACATCCGGCTCCCTCACTGTATGCACTGCTCCCTCACTGTATGCACTGCTCCTCTCCTTGCACACTGATGTCCTGACAGCTCATTTCTAAAATGGCAGAATGGTACATATATCTCCCCAAATGCCCCCCCCCCCTTTTTTTTTTTTTTTGTACATACTGTCCCCCGTGCAGGACAGCGGCATCCTATGACCAGTGTGGTGGTGATGATCAGGGATACTGACTGGTGACAAGTAAGGTTGGGAAAAAAAGCTACATTTTTAAAACTTTTTTTTTTTTCTTCATCCTGGTATCAGAGAAGCTCAGGGTCGCCATAGTGACACTGTACTACTCTGGGTGGTGATCAGGGTTGTTTTTTTACACTTATTTCTTATTGATGATCACTGTATTAGTAATAGTTTTAACTGTCATGAATGGAGTTCCCAATTATATGAACAGCTTGCTGATGATCTGTGATTGGCTACAGGTAATCACATGGTACAGGTAACCAGGTACCATGTGATTGCTGTGGGTCAATCACAGATTACAACAGTAAGCAAGCTGTCCATGAATGGCTCGGCGGACATCTTTACTAAGGGTCAGTCACTGCTACCTTATCCTTGTTTAACCTGTATGGGTCTGGTTTTGCATGCTAACCCTATATATATTTTTATGCTAAGGCAAATAAATTTACTTTAATATACTACACTATCTCTGGCACCTGTGTTTTTTCTGGGGCTCCTCTTTTGGAGCTGCTACCCCCACAGAGAAGGTGCCATTACCACTTAGTGGATGAGAGAGTCCCACCACCATTGTGAAGTGCCTGGTACACACCTTAAGGAGGACCTCAGGATCTGGTTTTGAGTCTTCGGGGACCCACCGTGAGAGGGATGCATGCCATCTGAATGTTGGAGGATCTGACATCTGAATGATTATTCCTACATGCGCATAATCCATGCGTTTCTGGTGAGTGCGCATTGCTATTATTTAAGGCCGCAAGAGCTTTGAAAGTCTGCACCCTATATAAGAAAACCACGGATACTACCACATTGACTTTTGACTGTCTTCAGTTTTTATTCTTCTAGCGCTGCACCATATTACCTTTGTTTACACTTTACATTTAAAGGCATTGTGGTTGCCTTCGGTGCTTTAGCTGCTGTGTTCATTAAGAGCGCTCACTATTATTCGTTTTTACCTTTGGTAAGCCATTCATGACAGGTTCTTTACATGGTCATGTGATCGCTATGACCAATCATAGTGATCACGATACCTGGTCACAGGACATGGTGGTTAGAGGAGGCGGCGCTGTGTGCCCCTAAACTGGAAAAGACACACACTGTCCCTGCCCAATCATGTGATTCAGGTGTTCCAATCCCCTCCCAATCATGTGATTCAGGTGTTCCAATCCCCTCCCAATCATGTGATTCAGGTGTTCCAATCCCCTCCCAATCATGTGATTCAGGTGTTCCAATCCCCTCCCAATCATGTGATTCAGGTGTTCCAATCCCCTCCATGGACACAGGTGTATACAATCAAGCCCCTAGGCATGCAGACTGCTTCTACAAACATTGGTGAAAGAATGGGTCGCTCTCAGGAGCTCAGTGACTCCAAGCGTGGTCCCGTGATAGGTGGTCACATGTGCAATAAGTCCATCCGTGACATTTCCTGGCTACTAAATATTCCACGCTCAACTGTTAGTGGGATTATAACAAAGTGGAAGCAACTGGGAACAACAGCGACTCAGCCACCAAGTTTGGTAGGCCACGTCACATGACAGGGCGGGGTCAGCGCATGCTGAAGCGCACAGTGCGCAGAAGTCGCCAACTGTCTGCAGAGTCAATAGCTAAAGACCTCCAAACTTGGTGTGGCCTTCAGAGGAGCCCAGCAACAGTGCGTAGAGAGCTTCATGGAATGGGTTTCCATGGCCGAGCAGCTGCATCCAAGCCTTCCGTCACCAAGTGCAATGCAAAGCGTTGGATGCCGTGGTGTAAAGCACGCCGCCACTGGACTCTAGAGCAGTGGAGACGTGTTCTCTGGAGTGATCAATCACGCTTCTCTGTCTGGCAATCTGATGGACATGTCTGGGTTTGGCGGTTGCCAGAACGGTACTTGCCTGACTGCATTGGGCCGAGTGTAAAGTTTGGTGGAGGGGGGATTATGGTGTGGGGTTGTGTCTCAGGGGTTGGGCTTGGCCCCCTAGTTCCAGTGAAGGGAACTCTTAAGGTGACATTTTGGACAATTTCATGCTCCCAACTTTGTGGGAGGAGTTTGGGGATGACCCCTTCCCGTTCCAACATGACTGCGCACCAGTGCACAAAGCAAGGTCCATAAAGACATGGAGGAGCCAGTTTGGGGTGGAGGAACTTGACTGTCCTGCACAGAGTCCTGACCTCAACCCCATAGAACACCTTTGGGATGAATTAGAGCGGAGACTGTGAGCCAGGCCTCCCCCCCGACATCAGTGCCTGACCTGACAAATGTGCTTCTGGAAGAATGGTCCAACCTTCCCATAGACACCCTCCTAAACCTTGTGGACGGCCTTCCCCAGAAGAGTTGAAGCATGTTATAGCTGCAAAGGGCGGGGCCAACTCAATATTGAACCCTACGGACTAAGACTGGGGGGGCCATTAAAGGTCATGTGCGTGGAAAGGGCGGGGCCAACTCAATATTGAACCCTACGGACTAAGACTGGGGGGCCATTAAAGGTCATGTGCGTGGAAAGGGCGGGGCCAACTCAATATTGAACCCTACGGACTAAGACTGGGGGGAGCCATTAAAGGTCATGTGCGTGGAAAGGGCGGGGCCAACTCAATATTGAACCCTACGGACTAAGACTGGGGGGGCCATTAAAGGTCATGTGTGTGGAAAGGGCGGGGCCAACTCAATATTGAACCCTACGGACTAAGACTGGGGGGCCATTAAAGGTCATGTGTGTGGAAAGGGCGGGGCCAACTCAATATTGAACCCTACGGACTAAGACTGGGGGGGGGCCATTAAAGGTCATGTGTGTGGGAAGGCCGGCAGCCCAATACTTGGGGCAATATATATGAGTGCTCCTGCTCCACCACAGTAAATGCACTGTGGCGGGACAGCAAGTGGTTGTAGACTCTTCCACATACCCAGTGAATTGACTGGCCTCAGGTGCTACACAGAGATGAAACAAATCCTACATAAGTTGTACCTGTTTATCAGCAGCCACCTGTCCTGTAATCCATTCTAAGTGCAGAATTTACACAGGATCTCTTGAAAGCTGGGGGCGGGGAGCTGAAGTTACACTCTGGAGAGCTGATTGGAGGGAAGAGACCCCCCCCCACCTGCACACAGGAACAGAGCTGAGGCTGTCAATCACAGGCTGTGCGCTGGAAGTCCCTCCCTTGTCACCTTTTTTTCCTCTTGGTATCAGGAAAACTTGTCAGACGTGACTCCTACAGATAGCAGACAGAAATTACATTTAGTGCTCTGGACTGAGACAAACACACACTATAGAGGGATATGCTTTGTTCATGTCTGAGGTTTACATCCACTTTAAGGCTGAGATAGACCGATCGATCGTTATTAGATGCATTGCACTGAAACTCTTATAAAGATCACAATTTTTTTTTTAGTTACTCAGGCAAAGTCTTTATTATTTTGGGAAAAAAAAAAATACAAAGTCTGCTCCATCGTCCCCCCCCCCGCCCCCCCCCCCCCCGTGTCTATAGCTGTGCAAACTTCCGCAAGACGCCAACATCCCAAGCTCACGTGGTTTCACCGGCGCTATAAACCGATCACCTCATTGGCTGTCCTGAATTCATCGATGAATACATCACACAGGTCCATAGGTTATGAGTACATTCGTGGCAATTGATCTCATTCTGAAATCGACTAAAATACAAAAAAAAAAAAAAAAAGAAGTGCAGCCGCACACCCGAATCATCGTAGAGGAAGAAGTTCGTGCGTTTGCCATCATTTCTGAGGTCAGGAAGGTGAGAAACTATTGCTGATGTCATCGCAGCAAAGATCAGTCCAGGCCGCAATGTTTGTATGCAGACGATCGGCTCACTCATATGTTGGCGGTAGAGGCAAGACCGCTCATTAACTGCTAAAAATACATCGAAATTTACAAAGCCGTACAGACGGGGGTTGGGTGAAATTAATGGGTTTTATTAAAAAAAAAAAAAATCACTGGACAAATGATAAAAAAAATTCGACCACCATAACGAATTTTGTCAAGATTACTTTCGATGATCATCAACTCCACCTAGTGGCTATAACGTGGTATTTTCCTGATTGAGGTTTTTATAAATGTCCACTGAAGTGACTAGCCGCAGGTGATACACGGCGATGAAACAAATCTTCCTGCACAAGTTGTACCTGTTTATTTGCGGCCCTCTCTCCTATACAGCCCTCCAAAACACAGAAATGGAAGGATTTTTTTTTTCAGCTTCAGAAGGGAGGAGGAGTCTGTGCACAGCATAGACAGGACAGCGGAGTGTAATCTGAGACCTGAGCAGGTGCGGACTGGAAACTCATGGGGCCCCCGGGCAATAGGGGATCCTGGGGCCCCTGGGTCCTTGCCCAAACTCAAAAAGCCTATGAAAAAGGTACCAGGGGCATCTCATGGGGCCCCCTACTGACCCCGGGCAGTGCCCGAGTTTCCAAATGCTCAGTCCGCCCCTGGACCTGAGCAGAGAAAATGGACACACACACCCCCTCCCTCTCTACAGTCTCATAGGGAAACATGCACAGCTGAGACTGTCAATCATCCTCTGTTTGCTGGAGGGGGCGGGGCACAGTGGTGTATTTAGGGTTCATGCTGCCCTAGGCAACACAAAAATCGCCCCCCCCCCCCGGAGAGACCCTGACACCGACCAACACCTCCCTCCCCCACAAAGAGACCCTGACACCTCCCTCCCCCATGAAGAGACCCTGACACCGACTCTCCCCCATGAAGAGACCCTGACACCGACCTCCCCCATGAAGAGAGCCTGACACCCACCAACACCTCCCTCCCCCATGAAGAGAGCCTGACACCCACCAACACCTCCCTCCCCCATGAAGAGACCCTGACACCGACCAACACCTCCCTCCCCCATGAAGAGACCCTGACACCGACCAACACCTCCCTCCCCCCATGAAGAGACCCTGACACCGACCAACACCTCCCTCCCCCACGAAGAGAGCCTCACACCGACCAACACCTCCCTCCCCCACGAAGAGACCTCACACCGACCAACACCCTCCTTCCCACATGAAGAGACCCTGACACCGACCAACACCTCCCTCCCCCACGAAGAGACCCTGACACCGACCAACACCTCCTTCCCACATGAAGAGACCCTGACACTGACCAACACCTCCCTCCCCCATAAAGAGAGCCTGACACCGACCAACACCTCCCTCCCCCACGAAGAGACCCTGACACCGACCAACACCTCCCTCCCCCATAAAGAGAGCCTCACACCGACCAACACCTCCCTCCCCCACGAAGAGACCCTGACACCGACCAACACCTCCCTCCCCCATAAAGAGACCCTGACACCGACCAACACCTCCCTCCCCCACGAAGAGACCCTCACACCGACCAAACACCTCCCTCCCCCACGAAGAGACCCTGACACCGACCAACACCTCCCTCCCCCCACGAAGAGACCCTGACACCGACCAACACCTCCTCCCCACATGAAGAGACCCTGACACCGACCAACACCTCCTTCCCACATGAAGAGACCCTGACACCGACCAACACCTCCCTCCCCCCATGAAGAGACTGACGTTGACCAACACCTCCCCCACACTGACCCACCTCCCCCCCTGACACCGACCAACACCTCCCTCCCCCATGAAGAGACCCTGACACCGACCAACACCTTCCTCCCCCATGAAGAGAGCCTGACATTGACCAACAACACCCTAGACCCCACCCGAGAGGGCCTTCTGCTACCACTGGCCACCCCCCACCCCAGCGAGAGAAAAAAAGACACTCACCTTCACAGCTCCGGACGTCCCCGGGGACAAGAGTCCGGCTCTGCGTACACCACAAAGCAACCTGCAGTCTCTCTCGGATCCCACTTGGTCCCCATGCTGTGTGTGTCCCTTCTTCTGAGGGATGGTGCTGCCCCCCTGAAAAATGCCACCCTAGGCAAATGCCTTGTTTGCCTTGTGGTAAATACGCCCCTGGCGAGGCAGGATTGCTTGGTGTGGCGTTAGACTGTCAAAAGTGACTCATAGCAGAGGGAGGAGAAATCAGACAAGAACCGCACTAAGTGCTTTGGATTGAGGCTAGTACACACTATAAAAGATGCTTTGTTCATTTTTCATTTTGGAGGTTTGCAGCAGCTTTTCGGAAAAAACGCTTCATTATGGCCCCTGGATGGAGCTGATGATCATAGGAAGTAAACATATTACCAAAAACGAGGAACATTTGTTACCGTCGGGTGAATGATCGTGACATTCGTCCAGTGAATTTGTTTATAAATCGACCCCGAAGTATTGCGTTTTGTTTGCAGCCAGTAAATGTAGCTTTGCTCCCAAGCTGATACGTCAACGGGGCGGTCATGCTGTGCGCCCCTTTACACACCAATACAAATCATCTCCAATAGGGGGCGACAGAATGAAGCTGCTGTGCTTGCCTTAAAGCCGAACTCTGGCATTACCCATTTTTCCCCCACACGTTGCCAAGTCCTGAATACTCTGTTTCCTGCAAAATCCTAATCCTTTGAAGCTACTGCAGCTAACCTGATCCTGCCTTCATGTCCCGTCTACACAAATCCAACCATCATCAATCCCCTCACCTCTGATCTGTACTGTCTTTGGCCCAACTCTTACAGCTATCAGCTTTCTCTGCCATCCATCTTCGTATGGGCAGTTCCCGAGCATTAGATGAAAAATAAATCCTTGTGCACAATCGGGATTAGCTGTGCAATCTGCTGATCATTTGGTTGAGGGCACTTTATTAACTGTGCAATCTGCTGATCATTTGGTTGAGGGCACTTTATTAACTGTGCAATCTGCTGATCATTTGGTTGAGGGCA